TGGATTTGAAAGCAACACCCTTTCCTCCATACATCCACGCTACCTGAAAGACCACAGCTTCCTGAATCCAATGATCCCAGTTATGTGCACATCGGACCTCCGCTTCACCAGATACGGCCAGGTAAGTTTTGGCCAATCAGATTGCATATGCTAATGAGGGTGGAATTAATGAGGGTGAAACTCGTTTTTATCTATATACCTAAACCTAACCCTAACCTAACCCTAAACCTTCCCAACCCTAATATCCAATGCCCAAATAGGCTAATCTCTTAGAAAGTAACAAAACAAAGCCAATAGGAATATCCTTTTCTCAATCTCCCTACTTCCTGGTCCTCCACATTCTCAGCCCAACGCCCAATTAGGCTATTCTCCTGGAAAGGAGATAAATCAACGCTTTCCTGGTATAGTCTAACAGGCGTAGGCCCGTGCACGCATCCTCAGTCTCCCTACTCCAAACCTTCCTAGACGGGTGTCAGGTTGGGGGGAGCTGTTGTAATTTTTCAACACCTAACAATTGAATCAACATTTTAAAGAGCACAGTAACTGGCTAAATTCCACATTTATAGTTGGACACTAAACCTCAGTCTACATCAGTGGTTCCCAACCCTGGTCCAGGAGGCACCCCAACACTGCACATTTTGCATGGCTCCTTTCTCTGACACCAATTTCAGGTCTTGGAGTCTCTACTAATGAGCTGATGACCTGAATCAGGTGTGTTTGATTAAGGAGACATGCAAAACGTGCAGTGTTGGGGTGCCTCCAGGGCCAGGGTTGGGAACCACTGGTCTACATAACCTAATAGCAATGCAATGTTTATAAGAGCAGTACACTACTTGTAATGGTATAAAACCGTCACTGAACAACACATTACATATCAGTATCATTACTTTAATGAGAAGACTGCATGGGTGTATTCCTACAGAACATCCTACAACTCACAAGCTAACACATTTTCAGTTTATACCAGGTGTCAAACTCAGTTCCTGGAGGGCTGGAGTCCTGCAGAGTTTAGATGCAACCCTAATTAAACACACCTGATACAGCTAATCGAGTCCTTCAGGCTTATTTGAAAACTACATGGTTTGTGTTTTGGAACTAAACTATGCAGGGCTGCGGCCTAGAACTGAGGCCCCGTCCACACGAAGACGCGTTTAGCTGTATACGCATAAATTTTGTATCGTATAGGCATTTCGTCCAGACGGATCCGGCATTTTGGGAGAGTGAAACCGATATTTTTTGCCCTTTCTCTGACCCCAATTTCAGGTCTTGGAGTCTCTACTAATGAGCTGATGACCTGAATCAGGTGTGTTTGATTAAGGAGACATGCAAAACGTGCAGTGTTGGGGTGCCTCCAGGGCCAGGGTTGGGAACCACTGGTCTACATAACCTAATAGCAATGCAATGTTTATAAGAGCAGTACACTACTTGTAATGGTATAAAACCGTCACTGAACAACACATTACATATCAGTATCATTACTTTAATGAGAAGACTGCATGGGTGTATTCCTACAGAACATCCTACAACTCACAAGCTAACACATTTTCAGTTTATACCAGGTGTCAAACTCAGTTCCTGGAGGGCTGGAGTCCTGCAGAGTTTAGATGCAACCCTAATTAAACACACCTGATACAGCTAATCGAGTCCTTCAGGCTTATTTGAAAACTACATGGTTTGTGTTTTGGAACTAAACTATGCAGGGCTGCGGCCTAGAACTGAGGCCCCGTCCACACGAAGACGCGTTTAGCTGTATACGCATAAATTTTGTATCGTATAGGCATTTCGTCCAGACGGATCCGGCATTTTGGGAGAGTGAAACCGATATTTTTTGAAACCGGGTCCCAGAGTGGATAAATCTGAAAACGCCGCCCTTGTGTTTTCGTGTGGACAGCGAATCCGTATATTTTCTGAAACGATGACGTCATCAGCCCACATCTCGCCCCTAGTCAGACACCGCTACGTCACGTAACAGCTACAAAAACATGAACAAACACTGAACGATTGTCTTTTTATTAACTAACATTAACACAGATTAATAAATGTATTGTTCCATGTTCGTTTGTATACCGCACGCAAGGTTTATGCGCATAGTCGAAGTCTTCTTCTCCGTTTTTAGTGCATCTCTGTGGCAGAATTACAGCGCCACATGCTGGTCTGGCATGTATACTACATTGTTTTGTCGGTTTTGTGGTTTCGTGTGGACGCAGATATTTCTTGAGACGAGGGGGAAAAAAAGATCAGATAGGGAAAGCTCTGGTTTCGTGTGGACGTAGCCTGAGTTTGACACCCCTGGTTTATACAAATTGGACAACAGTGAGGATGTTGAACAAGGGTTTAAATTGCTCTTTATTTAGATTAGATCACATACACAGCAATGCCTTGCAACCACTGCGTAGGGTCAGTATCCACAAATGAAATTTTATGATTCAGCACTGCTCAGAATAAAACGAATGTACAGTTTCCATAACTCAAAAAAAATCAAGATAATAATGAATGATGTGCTTTTAAATGACTAGACAAACTCTCAAATGTTCCATATTCAAAACATGCAAAACAGTACGTCCAATAACTCACCACTTCATACCTTACACACAAACCTTAATAAATAAACCCTATGAGTTGTTTGAGGCTGATATCTAAATGTTACTCACCCATTTCCAGCCACAACGAAGCATCTGGGAAAGTGATTATTGATCCTCATATATATAGACATCTGGGTCACACAGTCAAACCCTGCCTCCAACAGCACTCGTTAATAAAGATACCTCCCGAATGGCTCATGATATTTAAAATCAATATGAAATTTGTATTGGTTAGATTAGAGTGAAAACTGTTAAATGTTACTTATATTTGCCTTGTACTTTGTTCTTGTAACTAAGGACTTCTCACTATCAATAAATCCCATCTTCAGAAGCTTCTCACTCTTCAACTTTCATCTCAGATTGACAACCTTTTGCAAGTTCAGCTGCTAGGCATTTAAACTCATGGGCACAACCATTAACAGGGATGCAAACAACCAGAAATTAAATTCATTAAACAACCACATCTCAAGATTATAAACTTGTTGAACATGCTTTAATCCACACATTATTATTTAACAGTCATTAATCGATTCAATTTCCTGTTGTCATTTTAAGACAACAAAAATTACCTTTATCCCCCACACTTGGTTTCTCCCATTTCCCATGATGCACCACAGCACAGATATAATAGGCTTGTTTGAGATGAGCAAAATCTGCGGAGAAACGATCACCGGTTTTTCATCCGACTTGCTCTGATATCATGCTGATGTGTGCCAAAAATCTCTCGCGATGGCGAGGCGGCTATGTCGGATTGCGCAGTCGGGCACAGTTTAAAGTTAATTTCGTTAACGATTACTATGAAGAAAAATGTTCGTTGACGAGCTTTTTTCCCATGACTAAGACAAGACGAAGACGAGAACATAATAAGGTCAATAAACGATAACTAAGACTATATCAACATGCAATTTCGTTGACAAAATAAGACTAGACTAAAATATTTTCAAAAAGATAAAAACCTTACCCAAAACCTCTTTTTATTTTCGTCAAAAAAAGGAGACAAAATGTTATTGCGGGCTGCTCTACACATTTCTACTACGTGAGCTTTCATGAGTGCAGTTGCCAGATATCAAGAGTTCAAATCCCCGAATCAGAGCTTCGCTGTTACACCGGGAATCTTGTTTGTATTAAAGTAAAAATGGATGATAAATACACCTTTCGTATGGAATTAAATAGCAAGCACTTTGAGGGACTTGTTCATCATATTTATTTTCATATAAAAGCAACAGAACTGAAATTATATCATGTTTATTAGCAACACAGCATGTGAGTGAGAATAACGCAACATCCGCCTTTGATCTCTGTATCAGTTCCACTTCGAGAGGTCAGAACTGTCCGTCTAGACTGCGCTTATTTCACTCCTCCCCTCACTGCAGCCGCCTGCTCTCGCCTACATTTCAGGCGAGGTGAGGCACATCTCAAACAAGCCTAATTTTAGAGGTTGCACTGGATTTTCAACTGATTCCAGCCAGCTGTCAGATTGGGTTCTCAAATGGACTGATTTTGACTGAATTTCCAATGTTAAAAATAAAAAGTTTTAATCAAGCTCAGCAGAGACTGTACTGTATTTTTAATTCAATTAAAGTTTATTTGTATAGCGCTTTTCACGATACAAATCGTTGCAAAGCAACTTTGTAGAAAATTTCATTTCTACAATATTGGTTGATATTCTACAATATTCCTGGTTGATATTCCTGTCCTATAGTTGTAAAGCACTGCAGTTTATTATTAGATGTTGTAGAATCTGCATTTGTTGTTGTATTTCTGATGTTATCTATTTTATCAGTGAAGAAATTCATAAAGTCATTACTATTAAACTGTGAGGGAATATTTAGATTTGGTGGCATCTGGTTATTTGTTAATCTAGCCACTGTGCTAAATAAAAACTTGGATTGTTTTGGTTATTTTCTATGAGTTTGTGGATATGCTCGGCCCTGGCAGCTTTTAGAGCCTGTCTATAGCTGGACATACTGTTTTCCCACGCAATTCTAAAAACTTCCAAGTTAGTTTTTCTCCATTTGCGCTCAAGACTACGAGTTTTTTTCTTGAGAGAATGGGTATTACTGCTGTACCATGGCGCAGTATGTTTTTCTCTAACCTTTTTCAATTTGATGGGGCAACAGCTTCTAATGTATTAGAGAAGATAGTACCCATATTGCGAATCATTTCGTCTAGTTCATGTGTATTTATGGGTACACAAACCAGTTGAGATAAATCAGGCAGGTTATTTGGGAATCTGTCTTTGGTGGCTGGAACAATAGCTCTGCCCGGATGATAACGCGGAGCCATATAGTTCTGCCCGGACGATAACGCGGAGCCATATAGTTAATATCAGTAATATGCAGCATGCACGATACAAGGAAATGGTCAGTAATATCATCACTTTGAGGTATGATATCTATGTCAGTAAGATCGATACCATGCAATATAATTAAATCTAACGTATGATTAAAGCGATGAGTGACGTTTTGCTTGACTCCAAAATAGTTTATTAGGTCAGTAAAAGCAAGTCCTAATGCATCATTTGCATTATTAACATGAATGTTAAAATCTCTGACAATTAGCGCTTTTATATGATATGTGATATGACCACAGCCATATCACCCTGCAGCCCAAGACTGGTTGCCCACTGAAGCTAAGCAGGATTGAGCCTGGTCAGTACCTGGATGGGAGACCTCCTGGGAAAACTAGGTTGCTGTTGGAAGAGGTGTTAGTGAGGCCAGCAGGGGGTGCTCACCCTGTGGTCTGTGTGGGTCCTAACGCCTGGATCAGCACCTAGAGAGGACCTCTACAGCCCTGGAAGACAGCGGAGACCAGGACAACTAGATGAGCCCCAGATACAGATCCCCTGTAAAGACCTTGTCTCAGACGACCACCGGGACAAGACCACAGGAACCAGTTGATTCCTCTGCACAATGTGACTTTGCTGCAGCCTGAAATTGAACTGCTGGTTTCGTCTGGTCAGAGGAGAACTGGCCCCCCGACTGAGCCTGGTTTCTGGTTTTCTGGGGCCTCATTTATAAAATACTGAGTAGAAAGAATCCTAAATTTTATTTTATGATCATTTCTCAAAATGTGTACGTGTGATTTCACAGAAAACGTGCGTACGTCTCTCTTTTAGATGTGAAATCTATAAATTGCAATGATCTTGAAATTGTGCGCAGCTGAACAGTTTCAGATCTCCGCCCTGTAAACAATGTCTAATTAATGTCCTTGACTTATAAAAGAGCACCTGACAATGTCCAAATCTTTTACAAGCGACAAGAATGGCTTATATTTCTAAAAACCTGCAGCACTCGGGCAAACAAAAGTGTGTACATCTGCTTAGACCCTGACGTGGCGCTAAGCTCTTTTCCATGTCAAAGACCGTTTTTTAAATATGAATGTTGCCGTGGATTTTTGCGTACGCACAATCTACGATCAAATCTGTGCGTACGCACATTTTATAAATGAGGCTCCTTGACTTATAAAAGAGCACCTGGCAATGTCCAAATCTTTTTCAAGCGGCAAGAATGGCTTATATTTCTAAAAACCTGCAGCACTCGGGCAAACAAAAGTGTGTACATCTGCTTAGACCCTGACGTGGCGCTAAGCTCTTTTCCATGTCAAAGACCGTTTTTTAAATATGAATGTTGCCGTGGATTTTTGCACATTTTATAAATGAGGCCCCTGGTTGTATTGTTAAAAGCGCTATATAAATAAAGGTGACTTGACTTGACTTGACTTGAGAGATCCCCCCACATGATTGTTAAGTGCTTTGGGTGAACAACAATACTCAATAAAGCGCTATTTAAATGCATCATTCATTCATTCATTCATTCATTCATTTATTAACAGTAACCAATAGGTCTGAGTGGAAATCTGCCAATTCTTTTAGGAAATCTGTATATGGCCCTGGTGGTCTATACACAGTAGCCAGAGCAAGAGATACGATAGGTTTCTTTTGCATATCTGACAGTGTAACATTAAGCATTAGTATTTTGAATGAGTTAAACCTGTATCCTGTCTTCTGAGTAACATTGAGAATATCACTATATATTGTTGCAACACCGCCGCCACGACCAGTCTGACGGGGCTCATGCTTATAACAGTAGCTTGGTGGAGTAGACTCATTTAGACCAATATAATCATTAGGTTTTAGCCAGGTTTCAGTCAAGCAGAGTACATCAAAACGATTATCTGTGATCATTTCATTTACAATAGCTGCTTTGGGTGCGAGTGATCTAATCTTTAGGAGCCCAAACTTTAAAAACTTTTTAAGGTTTTATATTTATATTGAAGTTGAAAAATTTGGAAAGAGCCACAGCCTATTCAACATAAAAAGGTTGAATAGGAAAAAAATAGGAAACTTTAAAATTTTTGGATGACTTGAAGGTTAGGATTGAGTTTAGGAAATGTTGCGTTTAAAGCCTAAATTTAATTTACTACAATTTGTAATTAATATGTATAACTAAAATTTGTTGTGTGCCATGACAACCTCTGTGTTTAATTAAACTAGTGATTTTACAATACAGGTATTAACTAAAAAAATAGGAAGCTTTACAATTTTTGGATGACTTGAGCTGGACTGATTCATTTGAGAAAGTGAGCGACGTCTTCTATTTGCCTCCCTGTGTCATTCTCAGGTCAGCCTGCCGGATCCAGATCGGTCCAGTTTGATTTTCAAACTAACACCTGTGCCAAGTGAACAGCAAGGGGCTTTCAACAATTATCACTTCCACACACAATGATGATGATGATTATGTACTCACGACTAAAGAGGCTCCAGCTGCCTCGATGTTCTTAGAAAATGGGGGGGGTCGCTCTGTGTTCGGGCAAGTACCGGGCTCGAAGCCCTCTCCCCGGACAGCACGCCAAACACGCATAATCTTTACTCTGTTTATTATATGTAAGTGTGAACTCGTGAAACATACAGGACGATTCTGCTGATCAAGAGGAACAAACACAGACAACTTAACACAAGACCTACAAACAACCATGCAGTGCAGTATTGGAAAAGTATGTGAACCCTTGAATCTTATGATTGTTTAATTCTCCTTTGGCCTCCACCAAACGATTACCTGCGTAATGGTCAGAAGGCATTTCTCTCCACAAAATTCACAAAACTCTTTCGGTTTCCCAAAATGCGAGTTAGGGGAGGTGAATTGTGAATCTTAAGTTCATGCCAAAGAACCTGAACCAGGTGGATGTCAGGACATTATG